GAGGAGTCCCTGCTGGAGAAGGAACAGGAAGTGCAGAAACTGCAGACCCTCGTGACCAAACTGCAGGGAGAGGTATGTTGTAGCGTTTGAGCTTCAGCTGTACTTTGAGACATAGTGGCCTAATAGAGAATAACAGCTGTGGAAACCTTTGGAGTACCCACAGCCTCAGGACCTGTGTGTTTTCTGTATGTGCGTGTAGGTCTCTGGTAAGCTGTTCGATAGAGAGCGTTCGCTGGAGGAGGAGATTCAGCTGAGAGAGAGGCTTCAGCTGCAATGTAAGCAGGCAGAAAGGACTGTGGACGACCTCACCATGGAGCTGCACAGCACGAACCAAACCAGAGACGACCTGGCCAAACAGCTCAAACTGGCTCAGGTACAGTAAATAGTCTGAGGCGAGGCAAGAGGGTTACACTGCATCTTTACACCAGATACTTTATTGAATGTGATCAAAGAAACAGTCAGACAGAAACATTTCTAGGTTTTTGTATAAGGTGATATTCACAACCTCTGCAAAACCATAGAGACCACCTAGCTGCCATGGATTGTTATGCTCACAAATTTAAGTTTGAAAAATTCAGCCTTCAGCATCATAAAGGAATAATCTTGATTTCAGCTTTGATTTACCATCCATGTCCAAAACATTTGATCATTGGAGGGAAATTGACTTGAATTTGGGGCGACAGCTTTTAGCCATTGCTACTGTGCCTCCTTATTAACGTTCGCCTGTGCCATGCTCTTTGGCGGGATGTTGTGGATCCTTGCAAGAGAAATGTGGCCTACACAACTCTAGTTTTCAGAAACTCATTTAGCTGAAGGTTTCTGTCTAATTTCAGATTTGGAAAAAAAATCCCAACTCATATTCAGAGAATGTCACCCCCTGCTGTTGCTGTTTTTAGATTGGCGCTGTCATAGACAGCTATCGGTGTGGGCCAGACGACAGCCCACATTAGCCTCATTGACTCTTTATCTAATCATCATGTCTTGCCCTTCACCTTAATTTGCTGAATGAGTCAATAAACATTCATCATTTCAAGGGTAGAAAGCTAATTACCTGCTCAACAGCAGCACACTTTTCTTCAAGCTGTCAAACTGCTTCACATAAAAAATTTTATTTTCAACACTGAAAGAGGAAGAAATGTGAGGGGAAATTTGATATTTTTCTCCTAATACCCTTACTTTGCATGTGGTGCCCACATTTAAAGCTTCAATAAAAACAGCTGCTAATCGTAGTGATTGTAGTTAATAATCAACATGAAGAAAAGCAGCAGATTAATACACATTTGGTTTGTCTAACTGATTCCAGATAAACTACCATATGCGTGTTTTATATACAGCATGTCAGGCTTTTACACACACATGTTAAGTTTACATCCATTGTTGGTTTTAGTCCTTTCTTGTGTTTTTGCTATCACCAAATTCCTGAACATTTCACCATATTTGGATCATGTGACATCCAAAGTGTCTTTGTGTGCATGACCTAATGAGTCAAACAGAGATGTCCACTTGAGTTAATCATTCATGCAAACCATCAGAGTTTGGGGTTAATGGGGTATTAATTATGCAAATCCTGTTTAGCAATCAGCATGCTACAGTGATTCCATAATCCTGTATATACGTCACGTCACCATTTCTGAAGATGCTTAATCTGTTCCGTTTTCAAAAATAACCCGAGTGTCAGACATTTTAAAGAGTGACCTCACAGGCTGTTTGAGAGGGATTCAGATCAGAAGTTTACTTATTTTTAAACTTTCAGGAGAAGCTAATCGACCTAGAGAGCGATCTGGAGGAGCTGCATGACAGCGAGCAGAGATGGGCCGCCAAGCAAAAGAGAGCCATCGATCAGGTAGATGCGCTGGGAACAGGAAGCGTATCAACTGAAAACTATTCGTATAGAACTGATTTGATTGGTTACTGACACTCTTTGTGTTTTGACCTCCAGACCGAGCAGCTGCAGCTGAAGCTGATTCAGGAGAAAGATTTGAACGAGCAGCTGGAAGTTGAGAAAGTGTCAATGGAAAGACAGGTAATCTGTGTGGGCTTATTTCTAGTCTTTTTATGCATGTGATAAGTGTTTGGGCCTTAAATTCAGAAGCCAATATTATATTATATGCATTTCAATAGAATATATTTACTTTTTCTGTGCACCATTCTCATTTGCCATTTTGTGAAAATTAAGCAGAACATTTCATAGATAAAACAAAAACTTGCCATCACTTTGTGGACAAAAAGACGAATCAGATCTTATTAGTGTCATTTCTAAAAGAAACACTTATAGCTGCCATGGTTTCCTTGTATTTAGACATTTTTATACACAAAATAATGTAAATAAAAGGAGACTTTTTTGTGTGTTTTGAATACTAATAAAGTGTGTTTGTGTAGCTGCGTCAGCTTCGTCTGGAGGTGGAGGAACTGCGGAGCAACAGAGTACAGGAGGATGTCATCTCTAAGACGGAGATCAGAGTCAAGGAACTGGAGAACTCACTGAGGGTTGAGGAGAGGTCAGTTAAAGATCTTCTCTGTGACCGAGGACAGCCTGCAGACTTTGCAGGAGTACCTGCACGTGTTAAATGGCTTTTTGCTGTTACACTACAAGTGTGTGTTTCTGCGCAGGAACAAAGCAACTCTGACAAACACCAACAGTAAGCTGGAGAGGAAGATCAACGAGCTGAGTGATCAGATGGAGGAGGAGCACCGGATAGCTACTGAACAGAAAGACCTGGTAATACAGACAAACCTATAAAACAGCATTTCTGTCTCAGACACCCCCAAGTGGAAAGTGTGCGTTAGCTGAAATATCCAAAGCTTCAATACTACTAATTCTTAAATCACCGATTATTATTATTATCATCATCATCATCAGCAGTAATTTCCATCCTTCTACTACTTTATTTTTACTAACCTTATATTGTATTTTAAGTTAAGTTCAACTAGTTTTTGCTCTCTGGGATCCACTCACTATTTGGATGTATATTTGATTTCCTTTTATGAACATTTTTTTTAAGATAATCATAGAAACAAACTTCCCCCGCACTCTTTTTCCTTTTCTAATGGGACGTATCTGTATGGTGAATTGTTGACTGATTGACCCACCCAATGGATTAACAAACTGTGCAAAAGTGGCAAATGTTTTTATGTCGTGTACACTAACCAGATGATCTGATAATCTGTGATCTGTTCTCCAGATGACCCAGAGGATCCGCTCTCTGAAGCGCCAGCTGAATGAGGCCGAGGAGGAGGCAAGCAGGAAGGAGGCACAGTACCGGCACACCCAGAGAGAGCTGACTGAGGAGAGGGAGACAACCAGCCGCCTACAGAAGCAGCTGCTTGACCAACACCTGCAGACCAAGTATGAACTGTACTGCATGCATGCATATGGACTGTTGATAGCTCATAATGCATAACAGCTACTTGACACTTGTATTTTCTTTCATGATTTCTCACCTTGCAGATTTAGTTTTTTTAATCTCCTTACATATGTTTACGTACCCTCTCATAATTTTGATGGCAAACTAATAAAGCTTCATCTGTATCCCTCAGGCGTAAGGAGACCATGACAATCCGTCAGACTCTGGATAACCTGAGGTTGGACCTGAGTGACGATGACGATGATCTGACACTGGAACATAGTACAAATGTCACCAAAGTCTAAAAACCCCCTCACTCTAAATTCCCTCAGCGGGAACAGTGTATAACCAAATGAAAAGATTTCTTTTTCCTTCCAGGTTTTATTGTTTGTTTGTTTTTAAACAGGAAATGTCTACAGGATAGTCACTCTTTAATACCATCAGGAAAATTACATTTCTGAAAATCTGAAAGGACAAAACAATCCTGCATGTAAATGCACCACAAGTCCTGTACTTTACTGTGTTAGTGCTGTTGTGCTAAAAGCTGAAATGCATTTTTTTCCCTTTACATGCTCTCCATGTGTACTAAAGTGTGATTCTCTGCCCACATTTTAAATGTTAATTCAAAGGGTAGTAACTCTTGTTTGTCTTACCTGGGAGTGGCCCAGTGAAAACCATTCCTCAAGCGTCTCCTATAAAGCTTGTGGAGTTGATCGCCCTCTTCTGTTGATCAGGAAGAAATTCAACCGTGTAAAGTGAATGACAGAATCACCTGGTGGACTTTCTGCCTCCCTGTTCTCCTTAAAGCCACAATCTGCTCGTTTGCCAAAGAAAATAAACCTACAGGAGTTTGCTGCAGAGACATGTTGACACTTATACTGCAAAAGATGTAACTGCTGTGACACCACCCACCTATCATTCAGAGCAGTCACACCCTTAAACAAACTTGCTTTAAATTTTAATAAGTTATGCAAGTTGCAAGTTGTGCAAAAAAAAAGTTTTAAACTCATTTCTGAGGGAAAGCCAGTCCCAAATGGCCATTTGAGGAAATATTATTGATTAAGGTGTAGTTTTGAATCCATTTGTTCCACCCAACTACTCAAGTCTTTCAGAATGAGCTTTAAACCAGTAAATGTTCTAAATTATCCAGGTGCACAAATGTTCTAAAGACTTCTGGTGATGATGGGAAAGAGGACTTTTTCAGTTCAGATCTCAGAACGCAAATAATGATTCAAAGAATCAGAGCTCTCCAATCTCTCAGCTTTTGTATTATTTGATGGCTCTTTAATGGCAGTTCTTTCCTAAAGAGGGTTTTTTCTACATTCATACATGCAGTATTTGGATTTTGACATATTAGAAGAAATAGCAAGATAAATCTGGTACATGTGAGGGATCTTTAAGTAACTGTGTAATTCAAATCAAAGCCCATTAAGCAATTATTTATATGGTGTGTGTGTGTGTGTGTGTGTGTGTGTGTGTGTGTGTGTGTGTGTGTGTGTGTGTGTGTGTGTGTGTGTAATTCACAAGTTTTGTGACACATGGCATCAGACAGAG